GCTGCTCGTCGCGGAACGGAGTCTCGGGTGAACATCAGATGCTCAAGGGCGGGATCAGAAGTGGGTCCAAGATCCTCGTCAAGTTCTCTTCGGACACTCGTCAGTGTCGGTCACAATGTCACGGCCTTGGGAACATCAATGACGGATGCGTCGAGAAAGAATCTCGAGTTTCGTACAAGGCTTGTTCCTGGGAACGCTGCCATTCCGATAAACCTGAAGGTCTGCATCTTCACTAATGAGAATAAATACCGTTTTAGGGGAATGACTTCTTTAGCAACACTTGAGAATGCCTCGCACATTTTTCCACCAAGAATGGAAGAATGTTCTTCAGAATTCAGTTGCAAGTTCTCATCTGGCCACGCTAGAGTCGAGATAAATTCGAAAAGTTTGAAATGAACGATGCTGGTTATTATGAAAGCGAATTTTTTAAACAAATTTTAATGCGTATATCAATCTATCTTCAAAAAGTTATCGGATTGAATCATTTTTAATGTGATGGTTCTGACTGTTCCGGAGGGTACCATATGAAAAAAAATATTTGCACAATGATCGAAGTGGACATACCTGAGCAAATTAAAAATTTGGAGAAAATTCCCATAAGAATGTATTATCGAAGTCAATTCTAACGGAAAGAATACGACAGGGATGTACACACTTCCATATAGAAAATGTTGTATGATACTGAGCAAATTAAAAAATTTGGAGAAAATTCCCGTAAGAATGTATTATCGAAGTCAATTCTACCGGAAAGAATACGACAGGGATGTACACACTTCCGCATAGAAAACGTTGTATGATGAATAATAGTACAGTACAGTGAAAACAATTAATCTAAGGTTAAAGAAGACAAAACCATTCGAAACGTTAATTTCAAAAATATTTTAATATTCATAATGCCGTTATGTAATTTCCGATTTAAAAATTTTAAATTTCAAGGAATTTCTAAATTTGAAATAACAAGAAAATTCAAAATATTTTACATCAGGATACGCCTACATTGTAAGAATATTTGGTAGAAAAGGTATTGGTATTTGAATTTGACCTCGGATTGATTTTTCAATTCATCACTATTCTTAGGACTTGCTTTGAATTTCCTAATTATATCTTGCCGGTGAACCTTGAAAAAAAAATCCAATGGATTTTGGTAGGTTATCTCCCATCGATGTGTCTCATTGAAATTATCCGTTAAGAGAGAAGAATTCAGAGGGTACATTACCCTTTCTTTCACAACTCATCTAGATAGTCTAGAACTCAAGATTATATCTAATATCTACAGCTCAAGAGTATAGTCCTTTAGTCCACGGAGCAACTAATAAAACTCATCGCTGCCAAGAAATGATTTTGGAATATGAAAATATCTTAAATATTTGGCACACACCATTGGATCATTCAGACGATGATTTCAGTTATTAATTCAAAGTTCATGTCTCAATAAAAGCCAATGGTCAAACTACAGTACTCAGGAAATTTATCAGTTAAGTTTTCAAAAGTCAGCCAACCTTTCTATCCTCGAAAAAGGAAATGCAACTTTGTCGGCTATTGCACTTTCAAAACTTCTGCACGTGTCATGAGACCTTTGTGAACTCATATTCACACGTTATCCAGAAAATGTGTACCGAATTGCAGGCGACAGTTTTCCGATACTGACTTAATGCTAACGGTACATTTTTTTTGTGGATCTTCGGAGTCTCTAACTGAAGTTCCGAGCATCTGGAGCAACAACGCTTAACTTTATCGCTGGAAAATCTGAGAAATTTGAAAACTTCGTAAGAGGGATTATGTCTGAATTCAATTAATATATCAATGTATTTCTCAGATACTGAGTAAAAGACAATGAAATTAAGTTTGAAGCTCGAAGGTTTTTCCCCGAATGACTGAATGGCCCGGCGAACATGTTCAAAATGTTGTCAACCTTTTCGCTTCATTATTTTATGACAACCAAAATATCTTGTTTGCTAAAACCTTATGAATTTCTGGACGTGTCGTGACAAGTGAGACTTTGTTGAAGTCATTTATCAAAGTGTGACGGAAAACTTACAACGAATTTCCGGCGAAAGTGGGTCCGTAATGACCTCGAGAAATACTGAAGGTACTTCAAATAGTTTTTTTTTTGTCTTTCTTCAGAATTCCATATGACCGGAGAAGTTCTTGAGCCCTCGGCTCGACAAAGCAAAACTTTGTCACCGGATCCCGAGAAAACAAGTCCCACTGAAAATAAAATCTCCACGCTATTCACCATGTACGAAGAATGCAAAAAATACCTGGAAACTTTGGAGCATCGCGTTTCGCGCGAATTATCTTCGCGGAAGGAAGGAAGCAGCAGCAGCTGGCAAATGAATCGTCGACACCAATCCTCGTCTTCGCCTTCAATCGACGGCGTGCATGTGACACATTCATTCACGGTGTTATCGGGGTCAGTGTCGAGTCGAGAGTCTTTGTGTGAGCGAGAAAGTCGCGAAGACGTGCTTCGTATGAATGGTTTCGAGTCTCCGGACACTAGCGAAATTTTTGTTCGACACTCGATTGAGTCATTGAGACCCGGGAAAACATTCGCAAAACCTGAATGGAAAGCCCATCAACAAGAAACTGAGTTGGATAAGTACAAAGACAGCATCAGCAGTGAATCATCCAAGCCTGGAATCAATTCAGTGTCACCATCCACGGTCCAATGTTCAGGTTTCAATAACAAGAAATTTCTCATTGCTCAAGAAGTCCCTTTTTTAGTCAAGTCTCGTCTCAGATATGGAAAAAAT